CCACTTTCTTCTATTTGTGTGGATGCAACAGAGCCAAATCGTGATAGATGCAGTGTGCATTTTCACCGAGATGTTGCAGAGCTGGCGTAAATTCATAACTCAAAGTGTTCAGCTGCATGAGAAATGCTGAATGAAAAAAAAAGAGTATTAAAAAAGCAATTTAAGCTTTTTTAAAGCTCCACACAGCTTAAAATATGAAACAATGAGCTTGGAGTCATAAAGCTCTGTCTGATATTCTCCAAATATCCTTTAAATGTCGCTTTATTTTTGTACTGTGTTAATTTAAAGAAAAACAAAACACCCAGATGGATGTTTATAATGCCAGCCTCATCAGCGACATAGCAAAGGAATGCGCTCTGTCTCAGCTACAGTGGAAACACCTTCACGCTGCACGGCGTGAAGATTTGTAAATGCAGTAAATTTACAGGCTGAAAGTACGTGTGAGATGTGAAATGTGAAAGTGGAGCTGGAAAGAGGAAAGTGAGGGGAGGGTAAGCAACGTTAACGGGAGTCAGGTTTCGGCAGAAAATGAATCAGAGGAAAAGAGTTGGAAGTGCAACCGCAAGACTGTGACACGTGGAAGCTGGGATCTGCATCCACCCACGCACGGTGAAGCAAAAAGGTTTGAAGTCAAGTCAGAATAATGGGCTGTTTCTGAGTTCGTAATCTGACATTCAAGCATTTGTCAACTGTTATGGGATGAATGCACGCTCTCACATGTACATGTGTTCAACTGCCAAAATGGTTGTTGAGGGTAAAGGAGGAGAAAGAAGGAAAAGAGGAAGGAAAACAAGAAAGAGGAGAAAAGGGTGTGAAAGTGAAGGATGGGTGATACTTTTATTTAGAGGAGATTAAAAAAAGTGCTGCTAGTTGTTGCATATTTTTCTTCAGACTAAAGATACCGACCCTCATGTGAAAACTGACAATTAACCCATTAACTAAAAGCTACTCTGTCAATCTGCTGTTAAATATGTTACATTAAAGCTCCTGTGGCTGCTCAGAAAGGTGGCTTCAAGGAAAGCCCAGCCTTATTCTGGCCTGGGAAAGATAACCTGTGTCAGTGTTCAAATGGGGCTAAATTAGCCGTGAGTGGAGGAAGAACTGCTTCTGCTTCTGGCCCTGATTTATATTGCTTTATTTAAAACAAAACATTGCTTTCTATTATTATTTTTCTCATTACTAGCACACACTGCTCCTGTTTCTTTTCATGTGTCAGTGCTGTGCTGCTCACTGCTGCCACCTAGTGTACAGGAAAGGTTTGCCACAAAATAAAGCGCCGTTTTGTTCAGCAGCAGCTGTGTAAAATATGAAGCAATAAGATGAGTGATGTTTGGTGTGAGAGTGAGATATTGTTCTGAGAAGTGCTTACCATCACTGTGTGTATATGCAAACTGTAAGTATACAG